TGTGAGTGTGTGTGTGTGTGTGGCCAGCTGTGGCTCACGGTAAAGTCTGGAATTTATTGCCATTCCAAACAAATGAGTGTTTCCCCCCTGCGTGGATTATTGTGCTTTTCCCCTGATGCTTTTCCATTCTCTTCCAGTCCTGCACTTCAGCGACCGATGAGGAATTGAAAGAACCAGTTCTTAAACTGAGTTTTGTTTAACCCTAACTGTGATGAAGTCTCTATAAACTCTTGATCTGACGGTAGAAACATGTTCAGTTGAGCTAAACTAACCTGGAAGAATCATCAGTCTTCATGTTCCCAGCGCACATCCGTCCTGATTTCTCTCCTGACTCCGTGTCTAATCAATAATCACAGTCTGTTATTGGATTCTGGCTCCTGATGTGACTATAACCCAACACGTATGAAAGGAATATTCTGGGTTAAATACAGCTTAACTCCATTGACATGCTGTAGATTAGCAGCACATCTTTTGACTAGTTCCTCAGTTTAAAAAAAAAGGAAACAATTATTGTATGCCAGAAAGATTACAATAACATGATTTAACACATTGCTAGCATGTTTTAACATGCTTTAGCACACTGTTAATCTTTATTGCTAGCAATGAAAGTCTAGGGGACTTTTCGTAGATTTAATCGTCTAGTTTATGAAAACCATAAGTCTGATCAGTTGTTAAGCCAAATATAATTCAAGCACTAATTAGACAACAAACTGTCCTGTTATTATGTAAATCTGCAATTGCAATAATTAATACGGTGCATTTTAGAAGAGTTGTGTTCATCTCTTCAGTGCATTTGTCAACTAAAGTCTGGATGACTCTCAGATTTCTCCATCCAGAAAGAGTCGTGCTAAAATCACGGAGGCATTCTTCTGCGGCGTGTTTTCAGTGTTTTGTGTTTTCATAATGCAGGAATGTCTTCAATGCGGCTCGTTCCACTTTGAAGATCCAGAGCCGAACAAACCCACGGTGCTTCGTTTCAAACCGGCCCAACACGAGGCCTTTAAACACCATTCAGTGAGTTACTAAATAAGAGGAAAATAATCTCAACTGATTTTATGGTTTATTATTTGTAATATTTAGATGAAAACGTGAAGATATTACTCAGTTGTTCACATTCTTGTACTTAGACATTACTCGTTTCCATGGCAACATTCATAACGCCAAAATAGAATCATGTGTTTGTCGATGATGACAGTAAAATTCATGACTACTTTAATTCACTTCTCTTAAGTTCTTGAAAAGTACAGAAGGTTAAGGTTTCTGTACTAAACTGACTCGAACTCAAATATTAAAAATGTGAATTTTTACAAATATTTTTAATTTATATTCTTATTTTTTATTTATATATTACTTTTAATTTATGCATTTTTTTTAATTGAACTTAATTTATGTAATTTAAATGAATTGAATTGGCGGTCTGTTCCGGATTGGTTGGGGAGGGATTGAAATATATGTTTAAAATTTTATATTTCTGTAATTTTTTTTAAGATATATTTTTGGCTAGGATAGGAATTTAATTTAATTTAATTTTTTAATTTTTTAATTTTTAATTTTATATTTTATTTTACTTTACTGTGACTCAAACTGTTATGTTTTGTTTTATTTTATTTTATATTTTATTTTACTTTACTTTACTTTACCGTGACTCAAACTGTTGTTTTTTGTTTTGTTTTATTTTATTTTATTTTATTTTATATTATTTTTTATTTTACTTTACTTTACTGTGACTCAATTACTTTACTTTACTTTACAAGTCTGTTCCGGTTTGGTTGGGGAGGGATTGAAACTGTTTAAAAATATAAATATAAAAATTAAAAATATAAGTTAATATATATTATATATTATAAATATAATAAAAATGTGTGAAGAAGAACAAATCTATCTTAAAAACCACTGAATTATCCGTTCAGCTCCTATCCAAAGTGACTTATGAATGGTCAACAACTCAATACGTGCTACTAATCTGGAGGAGAATGGCATTAGAGGAGCTGAAGTAACACGTCTGAGGAACCCACTGAGAGCCTCTTGAGTCCACATGAAAAGCTCTTGTTATCGGTCAGGGCTCAGGAGTCGAGAGCCGTCCACGCTGGAATGAGACTTCATTAGGTCTTATCGCTGCGCCGCACATCTGAAGAACTGAAGGAAGCAAACAGACTGAGAATATCCTCCTCACACTTACACTCACTGAACGTCATGGGGTTTTACAGTCAGTCTGTCTGTATAAAGAATCATCTGCACTGACTAGGAATAGGATCAAATCAGTTCACGGACGTGATTTAAACTGCATTTAAAAAATAATACATAAAAAATAAATATAGTTTTTAGGAATATTTTGAAAAAAACTTTTTTTTCCCAAGTTTTAGTAATTTTGTTTGTTTTTGTCATTTTTATGTCTATATAATTTTATTTTTTTATCATTTTTATATATGTTTTTACTACTTTTTATTTCAGTTTTAGTTATGTAGTGCATCAATTTAAACGAAATGAAACTAAAACGTGTTTTCTTGGCATCTAGCTAAAAATAGTGCTAACAATTTACTTTATATATAAGCCTTTATATACAGTATAATGCATTGTAAACGTATTTTGAATGCATTAATTATGCCCTGTAATGCACCTTATAATGCATTGTATGAAATCATGAATAATTGTAAACACGGTATCTATTTATTGTTACACCTTTAGAAAGTTTGATGCATGCACATGACAAACAAACCTTCGAATATAATAGTGCGTTTTAACTTTGGTTACAATTATTTACTGTATGAAAAGATATAATGCATTACAATGTGCATTATGAATACCTTTATAAGGCTTTATTTCAAACTTTCAAACAAGGCTTTGTCGAGCCAACATCAAAGTTTGTTTACAAACTTAACTCAGCTAGTTCTCTCTATACTTCAGTTTGTTCCTTTGTGAAATGCATTGATAATCCAGATGCGTTAGTCCTGGAAATGTGTGTCACGTTCATCACGCCTCTGCGAGTGTCCTGTTGACCGGGTCATCGGTCAGCTCTCGGACCTCTCTCTCTGTTACACAACACTAGCCAGCACATTTAGAGGGGGTTTGAGGTCTCAGTGATCGATATACCTTCGTACAGATCTCTGTTTATATGTGTGCATCGATTTACCCATCGGCAACAAATGATGCAGTCTCTATTATTAAAAGTAAATGGCAGTCAGAATGAATTATTTCGCTCTTAAAGAGACAGTTCACCTCCAAAATAAAACCAAACTTATATGAGGTATTTTTCTTCGGTGCTTTTTGTTACAATGATTTTTAGTGAACCGATCCTTTAAGGTCATGTGATCAGGCGTTTGAGGTGATATTGTGTGTCTCTGCAGACGGTGTGTTTGTCAGGAGATTTACAGCTGCTAATATCATGTGTTTGTCGGGATTTCTCTGGCTATAAAGAGCAGCAGAGGAAGACGGATGGCGTTCTGCTCTCATAACATCTGCGATGGCTCTGCTTTTACTGTGGCTGTGTGTTTGTCTGCACACTTTTCTCATTGTGTCCAGTGTTTGTTGTTTTTATAGCTGCCGGTGGGAGTCGATCCGGATCCCGTTCGCAACTGACGCAGGGAATCATGGGTAACCTCGAGTGTTTAATACCTGAATCCAGCTGCGCCTCATGGCATAAACTCTCATTTATGATTAGGTTTTCCTCGAATCAGGCCAGAAGATCCACGAGACAACAATTACAGATCACTGAACGAAAACAACCGTATGTGGCTTGAGGAGGAACGTTTGTTAAAAGCATTTATAGGTCTGTGTATATCGCATTACCAAGCTGTCGCTAAGGTGCTCTGAGTGGTTGCTAGGGAGTTACTGGGCAGTGTCTAGATGTACAGAGAAACAGATGAATCGACGGACAGATAGACCGATGCATACTTGGAAAGACTGATAGATAGACAGCTAGACAGATGGATAGATAGACGGAGCATTATGTAGTTAGAGGACAGATGGATAGATAGGCTGATAGATGGTTAGAGACACATGAAAGACATAGGTATAGATAGACACATATATACTTAGATGGATAGATAAGACAGATATATAATTAGATGGACAGACGGATATACAGTATAGTTAGACGGCTAGATAAATAGATATATAGTTGGATGGATAGATACTTCAGACACTTCAGATGGATATATAGATAGATATATAGTCAGACAGACAGATATATATAGACAGACAGACGACCAAACTGATATATAGTTAGATAGATAGATAGATAGATAGTTGGATGGATAGATATACAATCATAGATAGATGGATAGATGGATGGATGGATATATAGTAAGAGACAGAAAGAAAGAAAGAAAGGAAGGGATGGATGGATGGATATATAGTTGGCTAGATAGATGGATAGATAGATGGTTTTTGTGCTCTTCTCATTCTGTGGTCTTGACTGTTTTCGGCTGGTTTTACTGCTCGGTTTTGCCTGCTTGTGTGAACAGAGCCAAAGTAAACCCGGCCGGCTGTGCTGCTTTATATTGTGTGTTCTTGAGTTCACGTGTCCCCGCTCGTTCACCCCGTCATGACCAGATGTCACCAGTTCACCGGCACAACCCGTTCCCAATGGCCTCTCTGGAGCCAAGAACCGGGTCAGGCACCAGTACAGCTTCGTGAGTCAGAACATGGACTGAACTGGCCGCGTCACACAGAAAGACCGGACTGGAATTTGAGTCGGAATGAAGCACAATCCTATCCAGTACTGAATGAATTTTCTCTGAATTGTGTGTCTGTGTGTTTTGTGTTCAGGTGGCGGCTCAGGCTGGAGTTTATGAGCTGTTGAATCAGTTGGGCTTCTCTGAGTTTGAGGACCTGAGAGACTCAACCCTCTGTCGTCTCCGTCACCGTTGGCAACAGCAGAACCGCCACGGGCTTCCATTCAGAGGAGAATTCATCTGAGAAACGCTCGTGGAATCTGCAGTACTCTTGTTCATTTGCAGGACGCCCACCTGTTTTTGACCAATAGCATCCAGCAGCTGAAGTTTAAAGGACTAGATGTTAAACCCACTGTGAGGAACTTTAATGAGAACACGAGATGATCAGATGTTGCATGAATATTCATGAGCTCTCACCTGTTAATGTCATTTGTGGTTATTTTCTCTTTCTGTGCAGGTCTCTCACATCTATTATTAACCTAATTTTAATTTAACAGGACTCTTTTTACATCACATTTAGCTTAGGTGGTTATTTGACATGCGTTTGCTTGTATAGTTTATTCACTCTGTTCTTTTTTAACATTTGAAGGCTGCAGGAACTATGAAGTTTGTTTTATAAATGCAAGTTTTTCATGAAGACTTTCATAATGGTGGTCTCCATTAAAAATCTTTCGTAACAGGAATGTGTACATTTATTGACTGCTGAATCTGTGACTAATTTGTTTTAATAGGATTTTGATGCATTACTGAAATATACATTAACTGATATAAAATATAGCTTTTTATTCAGCTAGTTGCAAAGACAATTTTTCTAATTGTTGATTATTTAGATGAAGTGCTAATATTAAATAAACTAAAAATGAATAAAAACTATATATACACATTTAAAATAAATAATAAAAATGACAAGCACAACAAAATTAATAAAACTAAAACACAAAAATATAAAAATAAAATCTAATTTGTGATATTAACAAAAGCTATAATAGTATAGCAATAATACTCTAAATAAATAAATAAAAATACCGGCTGGTATGCTATGCTATTCCAAATGTATCCATTCTCATTTTTTGTTCATATCAAATTCTGCCTTTTTTTTATTTTTAAATCATTCTGTGTCTTTCTGCTCATTTCTGCTCTATAGGAAAAATAAAAAAGTTTATTATTCATTGAGTAAAGAAGTGTAGTTAGCAGCAGGAAGCATCTATATGAACATGTATCCATATGGGTCTTTGCATGTAAACAACAGCTATAACATATTCCTAGAAGCGTTTGGCATCTGGAGTCATGCTGCAGCGTCCCGCTGTATTCTGGGAGGTGCGGAGGACATGCTGTGCATCATGGGTAGGATTAGACTCTCATTAGAGGGGCTTCAGAGGCTTGTGGTTTTTAATTGTCTGTGGAAAAGTGGAAGAGACGAGCCAAGCGCTCCTGGTCTGAAAGGGGGGTAGTTTCTGTGATGTCATCGTGTGGTTGAGCCTGAATTCTGCGCAGAGACAAAACACATACGACTCGAAGCGAAATACACTTCAGCAACATGCACTGGTGAGTTTCAAGTCAATCCTCACCAAGTACTAGTGATAAATAATGAATTTCATTTATAGGTGCCTTTCAAAACATTTAAGGACACTTTTAACAAACTTAGTAACAATCATAAAAATACAAGACAAGCCATATAAAATAAATCATCAGTTTTTTTATCAGATTTGTAGAAATGTAGCACTGCATCAGTGTCTCAGCAATGGATGCTCTGCAGTGAATGGGTGCCGTCAGAATGAGAGTCCAAACAGCTGATAAAAACATCACAATAATCCACAGCACTCCAGTCCATCAGTTAACATCTGGAGAAGACAAAAGCTGTGTTTGTAAGAAACAAATCCATCATCCACACATTTTTTACTTCAAAATTAAAAATATTAGTTCATAACTCTTCCTCCAGTGAAAAGGTCCATCTCCTGTTGTCTCTCACATCAAAACCCACCCACATGTTTGTTTAGAGCTGTTTGCTTGTAAACGGTGCTTGATCTGCGCAGATTGGATTACTTGTGGATTATTGTGATGTTTTTATCAACTGTTTGGACTCTCATTCTGACGGCACCCATTCACTGCAGAGCATCCATTGCTGAGACACTGATGCAGTGCTACATTTCTCCAAATCTGATGAAGAAACAAACTCATCCTAATCTCGGATGGCCTGAGGGTGAGAACATTTTTTTTTTTTTTTATTCAGTTTTGGGTGAACTATTCATTTAATAAAATGTAATCAAATGTAATTTTCTCCTGATGAACCATAAAACAGGTGAAAAATCCCACACATGCACATTGAAGGAGGGATCTAGAGAGCAGAAGATCACAGAGACTCTCTTAAGAAACAACCTGGCAACCATGGCAGGTAAGCACCACTTAGATTTTCTTCAGAAACTGTTCAATCTTACAATCTTCCACTAAATGTTGCCACTTATTTTGTGCATTCTCAGACGAATGTGATTTCTCAAGACGCCGGTTTCACTGATATCTGCCTGGTAGCAACATTTCTTGCATGCTATTAAAAATATTGCTTACAGTAACTCACTGACATAAAGGATGTGTTTTTTTGTTCTGTGGTTTCAGAGGAAGTCCTGCAACTATGCAAACATTAGACTAACGTCTGTGAGACGTGCCGGCGAGTTCTGCTGCAGCTTTGGGGTTCGTAAATATTTGCTGATACACATAAAGTCATGTAAACATGTTCAGAGTGGTCTAGATGAGGACAATCTGATTCAGCTGAGAAAACACCTTCTCAACGATCACGGTGTTCTAGATCAATGCTTCTCAACTGGTGAAGAGCAGGAGAATGATGCAAACGATTCAGTGCAATAAACCATGTAATCATGTAGTTAGAGCAGCTAAATAAACACTTCCTGTATGTTTTGTTGCTGGTGTCAAAGGTAATGTAGTTTTGTTTACATTTGCACAATTATTTTGGTATTGCATTGAGCCCTGAAGCCAGATGATAATGCAATATTTATAATTTTACTAGCAATAACAGTTCTGGTTCTAAAACTCAATTGAAAAATTCAAAAAGGTGTATTAGTGCTGATTCCTCCTCAGTAAGATTCCCGTCCTGCACGTGGATGAAAAGTAAGGCTAGTTACCTCTTGGCTAACTGCTAGTTGGTCAAACTAGTTCTTAAGACACAGTCTTAACATATATTTAACACTATGTTTAAGCAGCTGGCTCCAGATCTCTGCTCGCGCTCAGGCTTATCCGCAGGTACGGAAGTTGTTCAGGGTTTTATCACATCATGAGCCTCTTAGATGAATGAAAATGAAACCAGAGAGCAGGAGATTGAAGTGCTTCAGTGCCAGACACTGCAGAGGAGGAGCAGAAGCCTGTTTTGCAGCTCTTCCCCTAGAATTGGGATGGCAAATGTCCTGTTCACACCAAGAACGAGAAGCATGAAAGTGCGTTCACATTTACCTTTCCTCTGTGAAATTTCATGGGCGAATTCCAGTCATTTCAATAGGAATCCAGATTTCACTCACGCTCAAGTTGGTCATTCGCCTCGACGAACAACAGAAAGCTGCGGTTTAAAAGTGACTTCTGTGTGTGTTTAGCTTCATACATTGCTACACTATTGACAATGGAAAATGGATCTTTTTTGCCTACGAAATTTTGCCTGAATTTTGCTAATGGTTTCGCCTAACACGGTATACGTAGCAAGGTTTTTTTGTTTGTTTGCTTGTTTTGTTTTTAGAATAAAGAAAAAGAAAACAAGTAGACAGAATAGAAAAAGAATAGGGAATGCTAGTGTTAGAGGCTCATTTTTAAATAAAAATAAAACAAGTCAATAGAACAGAAAAAGAATAGCCTAGATAATGCTTGTGTTAGAAGGTCATTATTTATAATAAATAAAAAGAAAACAAGTAGAAAGAATAGAGAATGCTAGTGTTAAAGGCTCTTTTCTTTTTAAATAAAACAAGTAGTTAGAATAGAAATAGAATAGAGAGTGCAAATGTTAGAGGGTCAAGTTTATTTAATTAAAACAACAAGCAGATAAAATTAGAATTAGCATTAGAATAAAGAGTGCTAGAGTTAGAGGGTCAAATGAAGATAAAAGAGATGTAAATTGAAAGATTGAAAATTATTAAACTCAGCTTAATTCCACCAGGAGGGAACAGTTAATGAAAAAGTCCATGAAAGTTTTATCACATGTTGAAATTGAATGCATAATATTTCAATACAGGCATTTCAGTCAAATGTAGTTTATGCAATATTTCAAACCTTTAACCCACTTGGGAAAATAAACCCATGGCAACAGTTTAAAAGTAGCCCAATTCTTTGGAAAAAATGTGGACTTGGCAACCTTACATCCAACAAGAGCTGCAGGAATCAGATCTGACTGATCACAGGTAGAGAATAAGGAGAGATGACTGACAAGACCATGCTGGAGCATTTGCTGCTCAACAGATCCTGAGCTCACTGTCAAATATCTGATCTTGCAAGATGTGCTCCCTTTAGGCTACACAGAGTGTGTGTGATCGCGAAATCGAAAGTGAAAGTAAACAGCGCAAACGCTCATTCAAAAGAGATTTAAATACTCTGCATACTGAGAGCGGCTTCCTGATGTGCCAAAATTATACACAATATTAGAATGTTTAAAGGAATGGACACGAAAATCGCGGGAGCAAAAAACATATTGCGGGAGCAGGCAGCAATGGTCAGAAGTTCAGCGGGAGCGAGATTAAGAAAACAGCCGAATCTGGCCGGACGCATATTTTAGGTCCAAAAAGAGGACATGTCCGGGGAAAAGAGGACGTATGGTCACCCTAAATGTCTTCCAGGAAGGAGTAAATGTGCGCTTGTGCTGCTGTTGTGAGCGCGGCCTACTGTATCTGCCAGCATCTGCAGATAAGCTCTTCTGAGAGCCGCGCTGTGGACGGTATGGCGGTCGACACTTTGAAATGCCTTCCAGATCCTCTGAGATCCTCTCGGAGCTGAAACCGGAGCCGGCGCTTCAGAGAGACTTGAAGAAGAAGCCAAACAAAGAGCTGCATTGAGAGGTGAGCAGCGCTGAACCCCACGCTTCCAAACCTTCTGCGCCGCTAATTAAAGCTTCAGCCGTCACACTTTGACATCTTCACCATTAGAGAACCATATTCATCCAGCACCAGCACACATCATGTCTGGCTTTCATGCAAGTAGGTTATACCCTTCGCCTTTCATGGGTCACACTAAAATTACTTTATATGTTATGTAGAAACACGGCGGCTCACTTATAGCACCGGTGATCTGCCACTTATTAGTGAAACTTAAAATAACTAACTTAAAAGGTCAGTGTCACTTTAGCTTCATTAGCATAATGCATTTACATAGTTATGATGTCATGCTAGGTGAGCAGCGCTGAGCCCCACGCTTCCCCTCGCAGACGACGGCGAAACCTTCTGCGCCGCTAATTAAAGCTTCAGCCGTCACACTTTGACATCTTCACCATTAGAGAACCATATTCATCCAGCACCAGCACACATCATGTCTGGCTTTCATGCAAGTAGGTTATACCCTTCGCCTTTCATGGGTCACACTAAAATTACT